TCGCGACCTGCCTCGGGATCAACGCCGTGAGCTCCATCACAGCAAAAAGCCCCGTGAGAATTCGAAGCAATCCGTCACTCAGGAAGGCGAAGTGCTTCATGTGGAAGCCATCCACGCTGACACTAGTATTTTCTTTGAACCTCCTCGAAACTCCCGAATGGCTTCCACAGGGACCTCGGGAAGTCTGGAGCGAGCTCACCGACCTCGAACCACGGACTCACCCCGCATCCCTCCAGAGGTCCGAAAAACGCTTGGACTCCGCTTTCAAATGAGACAGAGGGTCCGCCACCACCACTCCATCCAGGCACCACTCCATCCAGGGAGAGGGTGGTGGTGGGGACCCACGGGGTAGCTCCCTTGGAGACGGTGTGGACCCTACGGGCTCCGCGTTTAGCTTCGAAGAGTAACCGATCCTTCCAACCTGTACTGGCCGCCTGCCTGGACTCGGCCTCGATGCTGGACAGAGTCTCCCTGAAGAGCAAGTGCATATGCTGAAAAAAATCCAGCGACGGGCCGTCGGCTGGCTCGTACATGGGGAGGTCGCACACGAACTGGGCCAGGGTTTGCAAAAAATGAGCTGCCTGCCCTAAATGGTCCACTATCTGAGGCGGTGGCTGCTCGAGGCGGTCGAGCACGTGCCTGATCCCCACCTGGCTTCCCGAGGTCCAGTGACCCTCGAAATCCATGAAAACATTGGCGAGCCACCTGGCGGCGAACATCGTGTTGTCCCCTGTGCTGGAGTCCTTGGTCAGGACGGGGCGCCAGCGCATTTGGGGAGCCTTGCCACGCGAGCCCCAAAGAGGAAGGCCCTTCCCAGTGGCGGCAGAAACCTCACGCTCAGCAGCATTCGCCCAGTGCCTGTACACCAGGTCTGAAGAATCCTGCACCCGCTCCATGTCCCCCAAAACGGCAGCTTGCCGAGCCGAGTCCAGCACACCGTGCAACCACTCCTGTGGCTCACACTCGGCGAGGAGGCAGACAGGGGGGAGCGGGGCCGTGGGCAACGGCGGAGGTCGCCGGGAGGTCAACGATTGCAGGCGTCCAAGCTGAGGGTGCAAATGGAGCCTGACAGGGACATGAGTGCACAGGTTAGTCTCCCGAACAGCCTGCACCACAGAGATCGTTTTGGCTATATCAGCCGAAAGGATAAACAAATCGTATTGCTTGAGACCGGCCACAGATTTCATCGTGTGCCCCTCAGGCACCAAAACTTGGATGTTTCTCTGACCTCCGAGACCCCCAGACAAAAGCGTCTCAGGCTCCATGTTGAAGTCAGCTTTCAGGAAAAAAGGAAAACCCAGCCCCTCGAGGGGCCCCACGAGCTGCACGTCGGATGTCCGCGGATGTCTTCTGCAACCAGAGGTGACCCAGGCCCCCACCCCGAGACGTTACAGGTTTCAACGGTGGGCGAACAATTCTCCTGAGGAACAGAACTGGCCTCGAGGGGCCGCACGAGCTGCACGTCGGCGTGGGAGGAAAACCAGGCATCAAAGGCCCCCTCAAGGCCATCGGCTTCGACGGCCGAGGCTGTAAACCACTCGCAAGCAGAGCTCCCGTAGCTCCTGCCAGCGTGTGCTTTACCGCTCGGATCAGAGGGCCGCTGTGCGCCCATAAAAACTTGGTATTGTTGTCAGCAGGCACTTTTGGCACGCCAGCCGTTCGTGTATTGCATACGCTTGCGTCCTGTTGCGACAGCTGTGTGCAGTCGTCAGTATCGTTACGAGAGGCAGCAACTTGGGAGATCCACGCAGAGCTGGCCGAACAACTGACCGTAGCAACTAGTGCAGCCTCCAGCGGGAGGCGGGGCGACCACTTTTTGGGAAAATCGTGGCGGGGCGGACCTTGTCCCCAAAAAGGGTCGTGCAGACCCGTCGAACCAACCTTGGAAAAACCGATCCTTCATTCACTAGTAAATTCGTCCCCCCTTAGGCGCCGTCTCCTTTGGGGGGCTTGATTGTATGATCTTTACAGCACGGGCCTTGACATCACTGCCAGACGAAGCCGCTGCTGAACCGCTCGCGGGTGGTGCCGAAGTAGCCGGTGCCGCCGTGCCCCCACCTTCCGCAATGCCGCCTCCAGGTACTGCCGTTGTAGTGTGCTCAGGACGTTCCTGTGCAGCCGGCGGTTCACCGCCGTCAGAGGGTATTTGCACCTTCCGCTTCTTGCCAACAAGACGTGCTTGCTGTTCCTCCATCTCTTTGCGAACTCGTTCAGCGTGTGCCTGTGCCGCACCAAAAAGTTGCTGAGCTTGCTTTTGAATCTCGTCATTGAGTGTCTGAAGCCTCGCCGTAGCCTCATTATTGTCCTCTTCGCTGAGGTCGTACTCCTTCTCCCATGCCAAGAGACTCGACATGTCGATCGGTAAAGGCTGACCTGCCAGCAAGTCCGTGATGGAAATCACGCCGCCTTGCTTGTCAGAGTCCTCAGTGTCCCGAGGTTTGCCGTCCACCGACTTGTGCAGCTCCTCCACCAGCTCCTTATGGGAGTTCTCAGCCGCCGTAAGTTGAGCCGACAGGTTCTCAACGTTGGACCGCTGCTGGTGGAGTTTCGCTTGAAGACGCTCGAAACTCTCTACTGCCTTGGATAGCTTTGCTTCCAGGCCGCGCATGTCACGGTACGCCCTGTTGACCTTCTGTTGCAAATGGAGTCTCGACTTTCTTGGCTGCCGTCCACTCGTCGAGCTTCTGCTGATTGCGAGCGGCTGCCTCTTTGTCACCCTGAGATCGCAACAAGTGGATGAGAGATGCGATCTGGGGTAGCGGAGCTCCTCCAGTACCGTGAACCAGAGGCCCATGAGGAAGGGGAGCAGCACCGCCAAGAGCCAAGTGCGGAGCAGATGTCCACGTGCCAGGGGGCGGCGGCCCCTGGGCCCACACTCCGAGCTGGGGTACGGACAGATGAAACGAGGGCGACGACCGCCAGGCCCAGCAATGCTTACACTGCTGCCAGGCCTGCTTGTTCTTCTTGCAGCCACAGCTCTGACAGGTCCATGTTGAAGAAGGGGACGCTCCCGACTGGAAGCCCTTGCCACCACCTCCACCGCCCTGGACGCCATGCACTCCTTTGCCAAATCCTTTAGTGCCTTTGCCGAGGGACTTGGCGTGCTGCTGCTGTTGCTGCGCTTCCACATGCCATGGCGGAGTGCACCCGCCCCAGTACGCCGCTGCTGGGGGAGGCACTATCGCGCGAGCACCTGGAAGTGAAAGATCTTGGATGGGAGAGCGGGTCTGATGCCCGCACAGGCAATGGCTCGCAGGAACGCGCGCCCTTCTGAAGAACTGTCCCTGCAACGCTACTCGAGCGCAGAAGGGCTATCCAGATGAGGAGAAGGAGTGGGAGGGGGAGGAGGAGGGAGGAGGGAGGAGAGGAGGAGGGGGATTCGGCGGCTAGGCGGATGAGGAAGAGGAGGAGGAGGGCGAACAGCAAGGCCAGAGGCCTCTTGGATGCTTCTCGGAGTCTCCTCGGATGTCTCTTGGCAAGTTCATGCAGGTCTGTCGGGGCGCCCTGGAGGCCTTTCTGGCGGTTTCAAGGGGGCCCCTTGAAGCTTCTTGGGTGCCTCGGGGGAGCCTCGTGGGGCCTCTTCGGGGTCTCGTGGGAGCCTCCTGGGGGCATCTTGGCGGCCGCTTGGGGGCATCTTGGGGGCATCTTGGGGCCGGCTTGGGGCATTCTTGGGAGCCTCGGGCGCCATCTTGGGGCCATCTTGGAGGTGATCGATCAGAGGAGGGGGGGGTTCTCAAATAGGGTTCCCCCCAGGAGGCCAACATGACTTGGAGCCCTCTTGGGCCGTCTTGGGGGCCTCTTAGGCTGTTTTGAGGTCGTTTGGGGATCCTTTGGATTTGTCTGGGGCAGTCTAGGGCCATCTTTGTATCATCTTGGCGGTCTTGGAAGCCGTCTTGGTGGCCATCCTGGCCGTCTGGAGGCCAACAAGAGCGCCGGAGAGCAGATTCAGAAGACAGATTTTTTAGGGGCGCATGCGGCCAGGGCAGGGGGGGGGGCTTAGAAAACATGACAATAACCTTGCAGAACAGACGAGCTCCGTGCAGACACAGTGGCGGATGTGACATTTGTTGCCAGCGCGGGTTCCAAACAGAGAGTCGTTGCACTCTGGAGGTGGAGGCTGTGCGGAGTAAGCTATGAGAGGCCAGCTGTACAGTGTAAGCCATGTGGCGTGAGCTGTGTGGTGCAAGCCATGTTAGGCAAGCCGTGCGGTGTGCGCCATGCTGCGTGACCGATGTGGTGTGCGCTGTGCTCTGCAGGCCGTGCGGTGTCAGCCGTGCGGTGTCGGCTACGTCGCGTAAGCCGTGTGGCCCACCCGGGGCGCAGGGAGCCCACGAGAGCGACGACGAGGCGCCCACGGGCGGGCACCCGGCGAGACCTCGGCGGACCCTCCCAGGGCACAAGGGGCGCCCACGGGGCGCTCCGCACGGGCGGGACCCGGGCGAATCTCCGCGGACCCGCCCAGGGCAGGGGGCGCCCAGGAGCGCCCGCGGGCGAGAGCGTGGATCGGAGGCTGATAGACCTCCTACCCCGACACGTCGGTGAAGGAAGTGACCGTTTCACAGTTCGACACAAAGCCTTCCCGCAAAGAGCACGAGAGCCGTCGATCGTCCACCACAGCCAACTCCAAACGAGGAGGCCACGACGCGCCAAATGCGTGTCGACAACTCTTCTGAAACAATAAGATGAGATCGAAAAAAAACATGGGCGCAGCATGCCGAAAAATGCGGGCGAGAGGGCGTTGCGGCCGTCGTTTTTGCGGGTCCAGGTCCGTCGGTTTCGATCCTGGGCCGTTTTCACTACAGGGAGGTCTTCTGAAGGGAGGTTTGTTTACCGCCGAGCGGAAGTTCTCGGCGGACCGGTCCATTTTGTTCGAGCAAGCGACGCGAGAACCCCTGGGTGCAAGTTCTGCCCTGGGAGCAGGGGAAGCGGGCCTGCCCGAGAGGTCCGGCGGCGGCGGTGGCTGTCCCCCCCCCCCCTCCGCCCCCCCCCTTTGCCCCCAGGAGTGGACCGACTGCTCGGCCTCGTGCACGGGAGGCTTCCGCTCGCGGCAGCGGGAGGTCAAGGTCCAGCCCTCTGAGTGCGGCAAGCCGGTCACTGGCCTCCGCGAGGATCGGGGCGGACGAAAAGGGCCTGAGAAAATTGCGTGCGGTTGAAAGTAGCATTCGACTTCCCCGAACACGTATTTCTCTCAGGCCGACTCGGGTGTAGCGCAGAGTTTTTGTTGAGGTCGAATTTGTTTCAAGGGTACGTGGTTCTCTCAGGCCGACTCGAGTATAGCGCCGAGATATTTGGAAGTCGAATTCGACTTGCACAAACACGCATTTCTCTCAGGCCGACCAAGTATAGCGCCGGACAGGGAAGACGGGGTACGAACACTGCTGCATATGCATCTTGTTCCCGCTCCAGCACAAGGCTCTTCTCTCGATGCACTTGCGCCTGTGGCGCCTGGAGGCGCCAGGAAGACCAGCCACGTGAGCTGGTTCGCTGGCCCCCCCAGGCCCCCTCGCAGTGCGACAAAATCATGACGGACGAGTTCTGGCTGTTCTCGGCCTCTGGGCCCCGTACTGGGCACCGGGATCGTCAATAAACGATTCTGTATGAAGAACCGGTCCGGGGGAATGGGTGGGAAGTTCCAGCGGCCCATGCCATGCAAGAGCACGACGTCGGGGGACCGGGCCTGCCGTCCGACCCGCGAGGAGTTCGCCCTGTGCGAGAGCCTGCCCCCGTGTGCCAACGAGACCGACTGCCAGCTCTCCGCGTGGAGCTCGTGGTCCGAGTGCAGCCGCGCCTGCGCCGGGGCCCGCGAGCGCGCGCGGCGCATCGTCGCCTTCGCGGCGGGCGGGGGCGCCAAGTGCGAGGGCGCGCTCCACGTGATCGAGCCGTGCAACCGGAAGGGCGAGCAGTGCGAGGACTCAGGGGAGAAAAACGTATTGAGACCGCTCCCCTTCCCTCGTCTTCGCCTTTTTGGGCCTCCTTGGAGGCCCTCGTCGGCACGGCTGGATTCGCTTCGATATTCTGGTCAGAACACACCCCCGGGAGTATTTTTGAGCTCCCCCGAGGACAACCTGCCAGTGGATTGCGTCGTGGGCGATTGGGGGAAGTGGTCCAAGTGCTCTGTGTCGTGTGGCGGGGGCCAGAGAACCAGGAACCGAAGAAAAAGACACATGCCCTAATACCAAGATGCATGTTGAACATAAGAGTGATCATGCTGATGATAGTAATTGTAGTCACAGCAATGGTCAATCACATCCGTTTCGGCTTCACCACCTGCCGCCGGCCCCTTTTGTATCATAACGGGATAAATATGAGCTATACTCTGATGTCTTCGCGTTATCTTGAAGACATTATGATGCCGACGCCGATGGTGATGCTGATGATGCTGATGCTGACGCCGATGGTAATGCTGATGGCGGTCTTGCTCATGATGCTGCTGCGGGCGCCGGTGCTGATGATGGCGACGATGTGAATGGTAATGAATATGATCTTGCTGATTTCACACTGCGCCGCGCAGGAACTCATCCAGAAACGATGGGTCCATTAGGAGGAGGAGGAGGAGGAGGAGGAGGAGGAGGAGGAGGAGGAGGAGGAGGAGGAGGAGGAGGAGGAAGGCTGCGCGAGGCGCAGGAGCGTAATTTTCGAGGGATCGTGGCTTCGGGGGGGTGCGAGCGTGGGTTACTTTACTATGGATCGTGGCCTCGGGGGCACGAATCTTGCGTAATTCACAAGAGATCAGGGCTTCGGAAAAGCGCACACGGTATGATTCACTAGGGATCTTGACCTCGAGGACGCACATATGGATTATTTTTCGACAGATCGTGGTTTCGGGGACGCGAATATCATTGAATTTGCAAGGGATCTTGGCCTCGGGGACGCGAACATTGCATCATTTACGAACACCGTGACCTCGGGCACAAACGTATCAATTTGCGATGGGACGCGACTATAACAGACTTTACACGAGTGTATGGTCCCGGGGTGCGCAGCTATGACGTAACTTATGAGGAATCGTTGCCTCGAGGACGCGACGAGAGTGTAATTTGCAAAGGATTATGGCTACGGGGGCGCAGACATTGAATCATTTACAAAGGACAATTGCCTCGGGGACGCAAACATGGTATACTTTACAAGTGATTTGGGCTCCTGGGACGCGAACGCTGCGTAACGACGGCGTGTGACCTCAGGGACGCACATATCGCGTAATCTACGAGGGATCATAGCCTCGGGGACACGTACACTGCATACTTTACACGTGGGTTTATGGTCTCGGGCATGCGACTACCGCGTACATGACGAGGGTTTATTGCCACGGGGGCGCGACTCTCATTTATTCCCCACATGTTTCGTGGGCTGCTGGTTTTTTTCCTTCCCTCGTCCCACCCGCGAAGCTCACCTCACCTCCCGCCTCCCCTTTCTCCCTTCACCCACGCACAACACATGCACGGCACGTACATCAGACACGCGTCTACTACATACCGCCGCACGCATGCACACTTGGCGTGTTCACTGCATGCATCATCCACACAAGACGTGTGCACCACATGCTGGGCATGCCAACATAGAACCGCATACGCATCATACCCATGACACGCACACCACGCAACACATACGCGCAATCTTGGCAGGGCGTGGCAGGCGTGGCAGGCGTACTGCATCATACACCCAATACGTATGCGCACGGTCGTCCATGCACAGCAGGCGTGTTTCCTTCTCGACGCCAGAGGAGGTGCGCAGGGGGTGGTCCCTGAGCGCGGCGTCTATGCGGGCGATGGCGAAGGGCACGGCAGGCGTGGCACTTTCTCGGCACCAGAGGGGGGCGCGCAAGGGGTGGTCCCTGAGCGCGGCGTCTATGCGGGCGATGGCGCAGGGCACGGCAGGCGTGGCACTTTCTCGACACCAGATGGGGTGCGCAGGGGGTGGTCCCTCGTGGCGTCTACGCGGGCCATGCCGCAGATCACGGCAGGCGTCTCTGTCTCGACACCAGCGTGAATGCGCAGGGGGTGGTCCTTGAGCGCGGCGTCTATGCGGGCTTTACTGCAGGGCACGGCAGGCATAGCATGTTCTCGACACCAGAGGGGGTGTGCAGGGGGTGGTCCCTGAGCGCAGCGTCTCTGCGGGCCATGGCATAGGGCACGGCAGGAGTGGCAGTTTCTCGATACCAGAGGGGGTGCGCAGGGGGTGGTCCCTGAGCGCGGCGTCTATGCGGGCGATGGCGCAGGACACGGCATGCGTAGCATTTTCTCGACACCAGAGGCGGATGCGCAGGGGCAGGTCCCTCGCGGCGTCTATGCGGGCGATGGCGCAGGGCACAGCAGGCGTGGCACTTTCTCGGCACCAGAGGCGGTGCGCAGGGGGTGGTCCCTGAGCGCGGCGTCTACGCAGGCGATGGCGCAGGGCACGGCAGGCGTGGCACTTTCTCGACACCAGATGGGGTGCGCAGGGGGTGGTCCCTGCGCGCGGCGTCTATGCGGACGATGGCAAAGGGCACGGCAGGAGTGACAGTTTCTTGATACCAGAGGGGGTGCGCAGGGGGTGGTCCCTGCGCGCGGCGTCTATGCGGGCGATGGCGCAGGGCACGGCAGGCGTGGCATTTTCTCGGCACCAGAGGGGTGCGCAGGGGGTGGTCCCTGAGCGTGGCGTCTACGCAGGCGATGGCGCAGGGCACGGCAGGCGTGGCACTTTCTCGACACCAGATGGGGTGCGCAGGGGGTGGTCCCTCGTGGCGTCTACGCGGGCCATGCCGCAGATCACGGCAGGCGTCTCTGTCTCGACACCAGCGTGGATGCGCAGGGGGTGGTCCCTGCGCGCGGCGTCTATGCGGGCTTTACTGCAGGGCACGGCAGGCATAGCATGTTCTCGACACCAGAGGGGGTGTGCAGGGGGTGGTCCCTGAGCGCGGCGTTTCTGCGGGCCATGGCATAGGGCACGGCAGGAGTGGCAGTTTCTCGATACCAGAGGGGGTGCGCAGGGGGTGGTCCCTGAGCGCGGCGTCTATGCGGGCGATGGCGCAGGACACGGCATGCGTAGCATTTTCTCGACACCAGAGGCGGATGCGCAGGGGCGGGTCCCTCGCGGCGTCTATGCGGGCGATGGCGCAGGGCACAGCAGGCGTGTCTCTTTCTCGACGCCAGAGGGGGTTCGCAGGGGCTGGTCCCTGAACGCGGCGTCTATGCGGGCCATGTCGCAGGGCACGGCATGCGTAGCATTTTCTCGACACCAGAGGCGGTGCGCGGGGGGTGGTCCCTGAGCGCGGCGTCTATGCCGGGCCATGGCGCAGGGTACGACAGGCGTAGCATTTTCTCGACGCCAGAGGCGGCGCGCAGGGGGTGGTCCCTGAACGCGGCGTCTATGCGGGCCATGTCGCAGGGCACGGCATGCGTAGCATTCTCTCGACACCAGAGGCGGTGCGCAGGGGGTGGTCCTTGAGCGCGGCGTCTATGCGGGCCATGGCACATGGCACGGCAGGGGTGGCATTTTCTCGACGCGAGAGGGAGTGCGCAGGGGGTGGTCCCTGAGCGCAGCGTCTATGCAGGCCATGGCGCAAGGCACGGCAGGCGTGGCACTTTCTCGACACCAGATGGGGTGCGCAGCGGGTGGTCCCTGAGCGCGGCGTCTCTGCGGGCCATGCCGCAGGGCATGGCCAGCGTGGTCCTTCCTCCACAGCAGGACCGTAAACATCTTGTTCGAGTTGAACGCACAAGCTTGCTCCATGATCCCCCTCGGAATTCTGAGACTCCCTGGAGGGCGTGGTGTAGGGTCATTTGGGGCTCCCCCCCTCGCGCGGACTTCAACAACTCACAGTAGTAAACATAAAGTAGAACCATCACATTGGAAGCTGGACATTGGAACTGGCGCAGGGAGCAGCAGGCCTAATCCGCGCAGCCTGGTGGCCCCACAAGGGAGCCAGCGAATGAACAGCAAGAAGCATGATGCGAATCTTGAGATGCTTGCTTGGATGGGTGTCCCATACAGTGAAATGTTGCTCTGTGGATGTGCATGCTTTTTCGTGTGATCTAGAAGGTTTGAGCTGTGCGCCGTGAGCTGAGTGGTATATCTCCGTCACGAAAGTTGAGCCATCTTGATTGTCAGGACATGTTGTCCGAAGAGGTAAGACGTCGCCCATGAGTGATGTTTTCGTTGTCCTATCATACATGGAGAGCTGGAGTTGAACCTGAAAGTGGCCGTTCTCCCTCTGAATTTGAAACGGGGGGAGGGCTTTCATCCCATGCTGGTTATATACTATCGAAGACGCCTACGGCGAGCCACCGCCGCCACCTGTCCTTTCGGAAGCGCCTATGTGGCTGAACGTTGAGGCAAACGCCCTGCCAAGCTATCGGACCATGTGTTCCCCGAATCGGTTTGAAAAGCCTTCGAGGAACACGTGGGGGAGGACGGGGAAGAGGAGGAGAGTGAGGAATGGGCGTGTTCGGGGCCCCTTGAGGGCACTTGTGAGCTTTTTGGGGCGTCTTGGGGCCTGCTAGCCGAAGGTTGGGTCAGATCTTTGTCAATCTTTCGGGACGAGTGTTCCCCGAATCGGATTGGAAAGCTCTCGGGGAACATGTGGAGGAGGTTGGGGAAGAGGAGGAGAGTGAGGAAAAAGGGGAAGGGAGGAATAGTCCTCTTGGAAGCCCCTTGATGCACTCTGGGGCTCAATTGGGCCATCTTGGCGGTCTTGGAGGCATTTTTGTTTGGACCGCTATGAAGGCCAAATTGGAGTGATCTTGGGCTCTTGTGGTGCCATCTTGGAGTCATCTTGAAGGTCATGTTGGCCGTCTGGAGGCCGTCTTGGACGTCTTGGAGGGCGTCTTGGAGGGCTCTTGGGCCGTCTTGGAGGCCTCTTGCGGGCTTTTTGGGTAGTCTAAGGCCATCTTGAGGCCATCTGGGGCCGTCTTGGGTGCATCTTGGGCCGTCTTCGCTGTCTTGGAGGCCTTCTTGGCCATCTTGGAGGCATCTTGGAGGCCATCTTGGCCGTCTTGGAGGCCATCTTGGGCGTGCTCGGGGCCATCTTGGGCCGTCTTGGGCTCTTCTTGGGGCCCTCTTGGGGCCTCTTGGGCTGTCATGGGGCCATCTTGGAGGCCTCTTGGGCGCTCTTGGGACGATGTTTGGGGCCTCTTGGGCCGTCTTGGCCCGTCGGAGAGCTGATAAGAAGAACATGCCACAATCCTTCAACAACCTATGGCAAATCAATGAATTTTGCACCTTCGGGCCTTTTCGGAGGACGTCTTGGAGGCCTCTTGGGGGCCTCTTGGCCAGTCGTAGGCCATCTTGGAGCCATCTTGGGCCGTCTTGGAGGCTTCTTGGATGAACTTGACAGCATCTTGGACTCTCTCGTGCCGTCTTGGAAACCATCTTGGCCCATCTTGGGCGGACTTGGAAGCCATCTTGGGCCATCTTGGAGGCCATCTTGGGCCAACGTGGCCATCTTGGAGGCCATCTTGAGCCGTCTTGGAGGATTTTTGGGGGGATTGTGGTCCTGGGCAATCTTTTCGGGTGGCCACCGGGACTGGCCGAAGCCCCAGGGGGAGTTCGTTTGGAAAAGAACCAAAACCAGAGCCGAAAGGGTTCAGCACGCCAGGCACCCCTGTGATGAGTCAACAGTGGGCGGCGGCTCTAATGGTTTTCGGCCTATCCCGCCACCGTGCCTGAATTGTCTCTTGGATGTTCGTTGGTATGTCGTGTGAGGCCTCTCGGGGACCTCTTGGAGGCAGTTTGGAGGCCTCTTGGGGGCCGTTTTGGGGCCTCTTGGTGTGTCTTGGTGTCCTCTTGGGAGCTCTTGGGGGCCTTTGCGCCTCCTGGGGGTACCTTGTGGCGGAAGGCTTGAATTGTCGGTTCGGGCTTCCCCTCTTGGGCCTCTTGGGCTCTTGGGCCTCTCTTCGGGTGGCTTGGGCGACTCTTCACCCGTCTTCAGGCCCTCTTGGGCGTCTTGGACCGATTGTTCGGCGATTCGGGGCCCTCTTGGACCGTCTTGGGGGATTCTTGGAGCGTTCTTGGCCCGTTTTTGGGCCCTCTCTCTGCCCCCCCTGTATGAACATATATATACATATATATACATATATATATAGACATATCGGTTATATATATAGATGATCTGTAAGCATCATATACATTATATATATATACATATATATATATACATATATATATACATATATATATATATATATATATATCAGATCAACAAATACGCCCCCCTCCCCCCTCCCGGGGGTCCCACACCTCCCTGTGACATCTGCCGTACGCTCCCAGTACCGCGCTTCCCGGCCTCCCCGGGAGCCCCCAAAACTCTCACGGACAGCCAAAGACGACCCCAAGAAGCCCCCAGAACGTAAAAGAAAGGCCCAAGACGCTCCCAAGCAACCCAAGATAGCTTTCGGGCGGCTCTCCAGGCTCTCAGGAGGCCCCCAAGAGACTTCACGAGAGCTCCGAGAGGCCTCCCGAGAGCGTCCGGAGAACCTAAAATCGTTAATTGTTTCTTGTTGGTTTTGTTCAAAAGGTCTTGGCCTCCTCACCATTTCATGCTTCTAACGCTCCAACCACACGGCCGAAGAGGCCCCCAAGACCGCCCAAGAGGCTCCCAAGACGGCCCCAAGATGGGCCAATAATGCCCCAAGAATGCCGAAGAGGCGCCCAGGACAGCTCCAGACCGCCCCAGAGCAGGCTCAAGATGAGCCCAAGAGCGGGAGCAGGAGGCCTCCAGAGACCTCCGAGAGGCCTCCGGAACCCCCCATTGGCCCCCAACATACCCCAGACCCCTGAGAGGCCCCCAAAAAGCCCCGACGAGGCTCCAAACACAAATGCATGCCCCGCGTGCCTTCGAAAGGTGCGGGAGACCAAGGCCCGCTCCGCGGCCCAGGGGGACGCCGCTCCCCAGCCGTGGGGTGCCGCGCCCCGAGCGTCGCCTTGACGCGCGTCGCAGCGACGCCCGAGACGCCAGGGGCGCGAAGAACCCCAGGGCGCGGGCGGGTGGGACAGAACGCAGCACGCGGCCTTACATGGGCAGCGTGCAAGCCACGGGCCGCACGGGGGCCTCGAGAGCCGATCGCCCACGGCCACGCACGGCGGGCCAGACGGCAGCGGGGAGGCGGCTGCCCCGCCAACACAACTGCCCGGCCAAGTGGCAACGCGGCCGCACGTGGGCGGGCCGCGGACGAGGGAGCGCGGAAGGCCAGAAGCGGCAGACGCACGAGCAGAGCAGCACCAGCACCCCTCCCTTCCCCACGGCCCGGCACCCCGACCCCCCCCCCCGTCCCACGGGCGAGGCGAGGGTAGGGGAGCAGGGCAGACGCAGGATCAGTATTCGTGCCAGCACGCAAACGCTGCGACAGCGCGGGCACTGCCCCCACGTCTGTGTGCTCATCACAACCCAGTAGAGCTTCGAGAGCCGTCCCGAGAGAGCCCGAAGAGGGTCAAATCGTTGATTCCCATTCGTTTGCTCAACTTTTTTCGCCTCTTCTCGTTTTCCCGCTTTCAGCGCTCAACAACCGGGGAACTTGAAAAAACAAGGGAACTTTTTTCTAAGTTCAACAAATATGCTTCCCTCCCCTCGCGGGGTACCATACCTCCCTGGAACATCTGCGGAACGCTCCCGGTACCGCGCGTTCCCGCCCCTAGGGACACCCAAACCGCCCGAGGACAACCCAAGACAACCCCAAAACATTTCCAGACCGTAGAAGAAATGCCCAAGACGCTCTCAAACAACCCAAATAGCCTTCGGTCGGCTCTCCCCATGCTCCCAGAAAGCCTCCAAGAGACCTCAAGAGAGCTCCGAGAGGCCTCCCGAGAGCCTGGAGGACCTAACGTCGCTAAGTTTCATTTTTTTTGCAAAAAGGTTTTTGGCCTTCTCCCCATTTCATGCTTGCAGCGCTCCAAGACGGCCGAAGAGGCTCCCAAGACAGCCCCAAGACCGCCCAACAAGACGGCCCCAAGACTGGCCAAGAAGGCCCAAGGCTGCCGAAGAGGTGCCCAGGACAGCCCCAGACCTTTGAGAACAGACCCAAGATGGGCCCTAGAGCGGGAGCAGGAGGCCTCAAGAGACCTCCGAGAGGCCTCCGGGACCCTCGAGAGGCCCCCAACACACCCCAGACTCTGGAGAAGCCCCGAAAAAGCCCCGACAAGGCCCCAAACACAGCCCAACAGAGCTTCGAGAGCCGTTCCGAGAGAGCCCGCAGAGGGCAAAATTGTTGATTTCCACTGGTTTGTTCAACGCTTTTCGCATTCTCACGTTTTCACGCTTCCAACGCTCAAAGGCCGAGGAACTTGAACAAACAGATTGTATTCCAGATTTTTTTTTTCAAGTTGGGACTCCTACTCCCTATCCCTTTCCTCGACATTTTCTTGTCCATCCGATTGGGCCGTCTTGAGGGCCATCTTGGACCAACTTGGGCGAGTTTGGAGGCCACCTTGGACCGTCTCGGCCGTCTTGGACGCGATGGGACCAACGAAGAACGAGTTTTCCCGGGCTTTCCGGGTGGCCGGCGGGCTGGGCCGAGACCCCACTGGGAATTCTTCTGAAGATGCACAGCACATGCCGTAAATTTAGCACGCCGTCCAACCTTGTGATGAATCACCAGGGGGCGGCGGATGCAATGGCCCTCGGCCCATCCCGCCAGCGTGCCTGGGTTGTCGATGGTCGCGGGGGCCTCTTGGACGGTTCTTGCGAGCATCTTGGGGGCCACCGTCTTGGCCGTCTTGGGACCAACGCAGAAAGAATTTTCCCAGGCTTCCTGGGTGGCCGGCGTGTCGGGCCGAGACCCCACTGGGAGTTTTTTAGAAGATAAGCAACACATTTCAGAACTTTAGCACGCTGTGCACCCCTGTGAACAATCACCAGGGGGCGGCGGATGCAATGGCCTTCGGCCCATCCCGCCAGCGTGCCTGGGTTGTCGATGGTCTCGGGGGCCTCTTGGACGGTGCTTTTGGGCATCTTGGGGGTCTCGAGGGGCCTTCTGAGGGCCTCTTCCTTGCCTCTTGGGCGCCTAGCTTCGAGGGTGGTCCAAGAAGGCCCAGGAGGGCATCGAGAGCTCGCTGAGATATATTCCTGGACAGCACCGGGGAGCACCCAAGGTAAGTGCAATCAAGCCCCCAGGATGGTGGCGCCTCCAGAGCGAAGCCCTGGGAGGCTCGACACACCTGCAGCCATTACGCGGTAAATCCGTGTAGTGTCGACGCGGCGTCGACCTTGTGCGCAGGCCTTCAAGGTTGAACGACCCCAGTGGCAGCGAGCCGGCCCGTATCCAATGATCTGTGCCATCGGGACGCCGCGATCCTTTCCTCTCGCGATTCGGGGAAACGTAAGACTAGAGTTCGCCAGAACTCGGGTTTGCTGAGGCTTTTTGACGGGCCCGTCCTGAATTTTGACGGTCCAGTTTTCCTGGGATGTTTGCATCGGGAGCTCGCGTCAGATTTCAGACTGGGCCTCGTCATTTCCCTGACGGCCCCGTCAGGCCAACCCGAGACCCCCGAACCCAAGCCTGCCTTCTTCCCGGCCGATGACGGCCTTAGTTGTCAGCCTGCATAGTAAAGATGGGCAATCTTCCCAAGGGTATCCTTGCATCCTTTCCTTTTCGGCCCATCCTTAGCAACTTTCGTTGGCCAACCTCCTTCTAACAACGTTAAGATGGGCCTCCAAGGCCCTTGCATCCATACCGCGCACCCTTATAGTACGTACGGGCTGACTGTACTGGATGGGGGGAGAGGGGATCGGTACCGTCACGATCCGCACCTGCGCCGTCGTCGGTGTCTTCTGAGAAGCAGGGTGCTCCTGAGAAGACTCCCCCCCGCCTCCCACCCCCCACTGCGCGTGGCTGAGAAAACGCCGAAAACCTTGAACCTCGGATCCCAGTTGAGCGTGGGGAGACCAATAGGTACCGATACCGCTACTCCGCTACGCCCCAGACCTCTCTTGGGGTGAATTATGATCAGGATTTCGAAGCGAATCCATCGGTGGCGACGAGGGCCTCCCAGGAGGCCCAAAATGGTAAAAACAAACGGGCGGAGGGTAGCAGTATGGGTACCTTGTCCTACCAATTTGTCTCGGGACCTTCGAAGGTCTCTGCCTGCCGCAGTCTTCTGCTCCTCCGAGGAAGCGGCACGTGGCCACGCCGGCCGCGCGTGGCGGCGCCCCCTGCGAGGGCAACTTCTTCGTCGTGGAGCCCTGCAACGACCACTCCTGCAGCGGCGACTGCCACGACTGCCGGTGGTCGGACTGGTCGGAGTGGGGGAACTGCACGGTGTCGGGCCAGAAGTTCCGCACCCGCGGGGTGGACAAGCTGCCGAACCACTGCGGCAAGCCCTGCGAGGATCGCCGCCGCCGCCGTCGCTCGTCCAGCCCCAGACCGGGCCCTGGGCCCCTCCCAAGTTGCTGGCTTTCCGCGCCTCCAGGGCTCCCAGAAGGGGTCGCGCGGCATCGCGAGTGCATCGGCGATGCGGCTGGATGTGGAGCCTGTTTTCTTCACGCCGACGGCGCCGATGCATCGCCGATCACCGATGCATCTGAAACGAATGGGGGATACATCGCCGATGCGGCGCGATTCTCCGACCCCGTCTACTCGGACCCCATCTAGACGCGGCGACGCGAACCTCCAGAGACGCCCAAGTGCATCATAGTCAGAACCACCCCCCCGCCCACACCGACCTGTACAGGTTGAGGTGGCTCTCCCAGCATACCCCCACCACTGTGGGGATGGCGCGGTGCATCTGAAGATTTGGGGGAGGCGGAACCCATCCCCAGCTGGGGGGGGACGGGTAGGTCGGCTGGCGGGCCCAAGGCTTCCTCGGTGGGGGGGGGATGGCTTCCCCAGACATCCGACGTCGTGTTTCTTTGTCAAGGTGGCTCCCCAGCACCAGCTTTTCATCCTGAGTCGTTTTTTGACAGCCCCCGGGTCCCGTGAGGGCCCCCAGAGGCCGAACATGCGCAAACACTTCCCGTCGTTTGTTTTCACAGCGAGATGGTTTCAGGGTTTCTTGCCCAGACACATCTCTGAAACGAAGACGTTGTCGCCAGGAGGGCTGTGCCAAGGAGGTGGCCAGCTGCACCGGCGGGGCGGACGGCGAGCTTTTCTGCGCGTGGTCCGGGTGGTCCGAGACGACCCTCTGCGCCGGCAGCTGCGGCCACGCCTCTGCCACGCGCATGCGCTCGCTGACGGTGTCAAAGAAGCCGCCGAAGGCGGCACGTCGTCCGTCGTCCGTCGTCTGATGTTCGGTCGTCGGTCGTCGGTCGTCGGTCGTCGATCGTCGGTCGTCCGTCGTCGTCGGTGCCGTCCTCTATCGTCTTCGTTGGTCGGTCGGTCGGTCTGGCGGTCGGTCGTTCGTCGTCGTCGACGCCATGGCTGTCGTCGTCTGTTCTCGTCGTCGTCGTCGTCGTGGTCGGTCGGTCGGTCGTTCGCCGCCGTCGTCGTCGTTGTTGAATTCTCATCTCTGAGGAATCTTTTGTTGCTCCCCCCCTGCCAGGTGCACACTGTGCTTTTGAACTAAGGTGCTCCTCCAGGGGCTCGTACCCTGTGTTTTATAAGGTACAGTCTTCCTCACATTGGGTTGTTGGATCCCGAACTACAACAACGGCTTCCGCCTGATACTTCCTCACATTTTATTTCAAAACCGCGCGGTCGCGCGGGACTTCCTCATTAATTTTTCCAGGAGTCGCTCTCTCGCGTGGTAATTCCTCGCATTTTTTTCAAACGCCGAGCCCTCGATGCTCAGGACCCGCGCTCTCGCTTTGAGTTTCCCGACGATTCACCTGGGAATCGTGCTATCGCTCGAAACTTCCTCGCGATTCACGTTGGATTGACGCGTCAGCGACCCGCCCGATCGACCTGGCCGTCTGGGCCCGCCCGCCCGACCCGCCCGCTAGGGTCTACCCTCCCGACCGATCACCCTGTTTAGTTCTGCCACGTGTTTTCTGCTCCTAGCCTCCTGCTAATCTCTCTCGTGCTCCATCCTTCTCCCTCCCCTTCCATCCGTCCTCTCTTCTCTTGTTTTAGGGGCTGCGCCAATTACAAGTGGCAGGTATGGAAGATATATCCCCAAGGGGGTACGATCCAAACGAAGAGGGCCGGTATCCAGGGTTTGGGATAACGTGTTGAATGGCACGCGAGCGGGTAAAAACGAGCCGTCTTGAAATGATTGCTGTTGAATTTTCATTTCTAGATAATACTGACCGTTGATCACCCCTGCCTGGGGCACCTTGGGCTCGGGCATGGGCTCGGCTGGGGGCTGTCGTGATGCTGCTGGAGGCAGCTTGGAGGCCTCTAGAAGGCTCCTTGGATGCATTTGAGATTCTTGGGGGCCTTTTAGGGGGCTTCAGGCGGCCTCTTCGGGGCCAGTGAGAAGCGTCTTAGGGCTTCTTCAGGCCTCTTGGGGGCCTCTGGGGGCCTGCCGGGGGCTTTTTGGGCCGTTTTTGGCATGACTGTTGATCCCTCCTTGCCTGGGGCGCCTTGTGTTTTTTCAGTGAAGGTGCTCCGCCTAGGGCTCACGCTTTTTCTTGATTTTTCATTTTTCCCCCAGGGAGAGTCCTGCGGCTCAGACTGGGCTGTTGCCCCCCCGAGCTGCAACAACAACGGTTCCCGCCGGATATTTCCTCACATATTATTTCAAGATCGCGCTGTCGCGCGGGACTTTCTCAGTTTTTTTTAGGAATCGCGCCCTCGATGCTTAGGACTCGCGCTCTCTCTTTGGCTTTCCTGGCGAGCGGCTCGGGAACCGCGCTGTCGCTCGAATCTTCCTTGCGATTCAAGTTGGATTGACGCGAAAGCGATCCGCCCGATCGACCCGGCCGCCTGGGCCCGCCCGCCCGACATGCCCGTTAGGGTCCGCCCGGTCGACCCGCCCGCCTGGTTTTATTCGTTGTACTCCTGTATCGTTTCTATCGTGCTCCATCGTTCTCTTCCCCCCTTGTCTCTTCCCTCCTTCCTCTTGCCCTTCCAGTCTCAGGGGCCGCGCAATTACGCGTGGCGGGTAAAGGAGATGTACCCCCAAGGGGGTACGATCGAAGACGAAGAGGGCGGAATCCAGGGTTTGGGATAATTGTAGTTGACCGGCACGCGAGCAGATAAGAGCGAACAGTCTGACAATGATTGTCGTCGTCGTCGTCGCGGTCGTCGTCGTCGTCGTCGTCGTCGTCGTCGTCCGTTATCGTCGTTCGTCATCGTCGTCGTCGTCGTTGTCGTCGTTGTCGTCGTCGTCGTCGTTGTCGTCGTCGGCGCCTGCGTTGGCTTCTGCGACGCGGCTTCGTCATGGGCACCGTTGTGGTCTGCTCTCCCCCCTCTTGGCCTCCTCCTCCTCCCCAGGCTGTCGTGGCGCAACTTGGGCTATCTTGTGCGATCTCGGAGGCCATCTTGGACTGTCCAGGGCCGTCTTGGAGCCACCCGGGGCCACCCAGGGCCACCGTGGACGCCCTGGCCGCTTGGGAAACCGCGGCCCAGGCCCCGGGGCGGTGGGGCGGGGGGAATTCCCCAAGTAAAACGGGTCAACCCCTCCAACCGCCCCTTGGCCACAGCACCGGCGTGTCGCGCCCCCGCCTTGGCATCAGGAAGGCAAGGCAAGGCGAGGCGGTCTCCAAGGCAGCTGCCAATATGGAACGCGATGGTCCAAGCCTCACCAGGCCTCCAATAGGTGGCCTCACCAGGCCTTCAAGAGGCCTTTCGACCGCCGCAAGATGGCCCGAGGTGGCCACGGAGCCTCACCAGGATGGCGCCGAGAGGCCAAACACTCTTGGAGCAGTCAGGTTTTTCTCATGTGAATTTATCGCATTATGTCGTGCTCCGACTTCAACACGGCGGTGAAATATGTTTCTTAAGTTTGCAAGGTTTTGCGCCGTCAGTGTGGCCCCGAGGTCGTCCAAGGGAGGCTCCAAACAGGCCCAGGAATGATGGCCCACGACGGGCCGTATACTCCCAGGATGACCCCCAAAGCGCTTCTCCTGGGGACATCCTTGGAGTGGCTCCAAGGATGGCCCCAGGAATCGGAGCCCCGACAGGGCCACGAGAGCACCCTCAAAAGAGCCCCCTACGACCCTCAAATCCGAGGCTCCGCCCGACAAGGGTTTTCATCGGTGCATCGTGTCTCGTGTGACGAGACTGCCAGCAAAGTCCAGCCCACAGGCAGGGGAGGAAGTACTGCGACCTGGGGTCCTACACATGTCGGGCCTGCCCCTCCACAGGAGGAATCCTCAACGATAGTCAAACGATAGTCCGGGGACGATTTTTTTTTTTTGACTATCGCCCCAAATCCGCCTGTATGGGGGACAGGCCCGACCTGAACCTACACGCAGAGGGCCTGTGTCAGGAGGGAAAAAAAGACACAGACACAATTAATCGTCGATTCCCCAGAAAATATGGGAAAATATGGGAAGTGGGGGGGAAGACAAAAACCCAGAAAATATGGGAAAATATGGAGGATATTGTTATTTGTGTGAATTTATTTGTGTGTCCTGGGGCCCCTTCACTGTGAAGGCCAGACCGCGTCGAGCGCGGCGCGCGGCCTCCCCGCGCCCGCCGACGCCCGAGCCTCGGGCGCGCAGCGCGGGGGTCTCGAGAGGGAGGGCCGCTGCACGGGCCGCAGGAGGGCGGCAGGCCCGCGCGCCGGTCGTCCCCAGGCAACCACTGGCCAACGAGGCGCAGCAACATTTTGCTCGGTTTTGCCTAAGCACGGCGGATTCATTCATCTCGCCCGCCGACGCAGCTTCGCCTCGCCCACACGCACGACACGAAACCGAAAACGATTTCTTGGCGGGGGGTCTCTTGTTCACCTCGAGAGGGGGGGGCATTTTTTGGAGTGCCAGATCCCAGTCCCCAGTCTGCTTCTAGCACCTTCCAGTTTCAAGTCCCGAGGTCCCCAGTCTGCGTCCAGCACCGTCCTGTCTCAAGAGTCGGCATGGTCTTGAGGGGTGTTCGTATTCTCTGGGAGGGCCCGAGCGCAATCTACTTCTCTTGGAGTCCCAGATCCCAGTCTACTTCTAGCATTAAGTCGGGCCTGTCCCTCGACAGGAGGAATATTTGAGTATTTTTGGATTTTTTTGTTATTTTTCGTTCAAAATCCCCCTGAAGGTATTTCTGGAGTCCCAGATCCCAGTCTTCAGAGGGGGTGCGCATCAAGAAACTACTTGCTTTGCGTCAGGGTACCCTGGGTTTCTTCGCTCCGCGCTCTGCGCGGTGGCTTCCCGCAGCCGTTGACGAAGCTGCTGCGTTCAGGGTGGGTTCCCCTGAGGTGCACCTCGCGCGCGGCTTTGGAAATTAGGTATTTCTGCATTCCCAGATCCGAGTCTACTTCTAGCATTCAGTCGGGCCTGTCCCTCCGTCTACAGGAGGAAAATTCAAAAATAGTTAAAACATAGTCTGGGGATCCTTAGTTAGGACAGCAGAATAGTATTTCAGTATTTTTGAGTACTTTCTGGAAAAATCCCCCTGTAGGTATTTTTGGAGTCCCAGATTTTAGTTTATAATGGGGGGGCGCATCAAGAAACCATTTGCTTTTCGTCAGGGTACCCTTGGTTTCTTGGCTCGGCGCGCTGCGCGGTGACTGCCCGCAGCCGTTGAAGAAGCTGCTGCGTTCAGGGTGCTTCGGGTTTTCCCTCAGGTGCACATCGCGCGCGGTTTTGGAAAGTAGGTATTTTTGCGTGCCCAAATCCCAGTCTACTTCTAGCACTCAGTCGGGCCTGTCCTTCTGCAGGAGGAATATTCAAAAACAGTCAAAAACTAGTCAGGGGAGGAGCTTTTGACTCTCTTTGACCATTCTGGAGTATTTCTTTAGTGTTTCTCTATTTTCGCCCAGAATCGGCCTGTAGGGGGACATGCCCGACCTAACTCTAGCATCTTCTATCTCAAGAGCCGGCATGGTCTTGAGGTGTTTGTATCCTCTGGGAGGGACTTCGTCCGACCGACGCGTATCATATCCTCGAGCTGAAATTTTTCAATCCTTAATCAACAACAATACGCGAACGCCCAGCTCTCCCTCCCCTGTGGTCGTAACTCCAGTGAGGTCAAATTCAGCATCGTCGCCAGTGCAGGCGCGGTCAAAAGCCGTCTCAATCTGGCCTGATCCCGCTCAATCCCGCCTGCTCCCGCTCAATCCCGCCTGCTCCCGCCTTGAGTAGATCCAGTATGTCCTGCCTTGGGCTCACAGTTAAACAGGACCATCGGATTAAACCGGACCATCGGGATGAGTAGGTGAGCGTTTCTTACTCGGCGTTTCGACATTGGGCGGAAGGGGGGGTCTGGCTCCGGACCTCTGCTTAGTGCGACTGTTTGCAGCAGTGCGTCCGATGGGGGGAGACTCCACCTGCTCAAACAGGCACCCAAGAAACAGCCCAGAGCCACTGCAGGAGGGGGGGGGAGGGGGGGGGAGGATGCGAGGACCCACGCCGATCGGCAAAAGAACGAATAAGAAAACGATCGCTGGATTTGGCAAGGGCACCCTTCCGTCCTTGTATTTTCGGCTCCTCCGTACATCATCGCTGGCCCTTCTCTCTCCCAGCAGGCTGCAGCTTGGGCGTCCCAGGCCCCCGCATCCCTACGGCGCCCTCCCTGCGATCTCGTCGCGCCCTCCTGGTGCCCAGCTGCTCCCAGGGGTTTCCCTCCAGACTCGCGCTCTCTGGTTAGGATCGAACTCATGGGAGGGTCAATTCCGCATCGGCGCTGGCTTCATTTGATCTGATCGCCTTTCTCAATGGGAGCCCATGCCAAGAAACACCCTGCTTTCCTACAGGGTCTGGGTTTCTTGGGTTTCGATGATTTTGCCATTGAAAGCGTGACGCTCCCGCACAAAAAAGCCGTGGACGTCCTGGGGTATCAGGGCTGGGTTTCTTGTGGCAGGTTTCCTGTGGACTGGCCTCCACTGTCGTACGGTCGTCCGGCCCCTTCACTTGGCCTGATCACCCTTACTCTTGCGCACGAGCACCTCCCAGGAGTTGCTTCCCAAGTCGGGCGCCCCGACCTCTGTGGACGCCCTGCGTGCACCGGGTCGCGCCGGCGTCTCCCGAGAGGCGTCGTCGATCTTCGACCTGTGAATGGTACGTTTCCGCAGTCTTTCGGCCCTTAGATCGTGGGCGACGCTGTGGGGAGATGGGCTCAGCGGGCGATGCATCGACCCCCAGTAGGGGCCCGAGAGCCAACCTGGCCTATGAGCCTCGCAAAAGTATATCGAGATGCCGTTCAAAATCGAAGCGCCCGTCAGTTCGGGTTTTTGTCAGAAAACGTTCTTCAATGCTGCGAGGGCACTGCCGAATTTCGGACACCCCTGCGCGTGGGCCACACGCCTCATGCCAGCGTTGAAGTAGCGCCGACCGCGCAAGCGCCGAGAACAGGGGCCGTCTACTTGTTTTTGGTGCTCCTTGTAGGCACGTGCGGATGAGCTATCGGGAGCCTATCACCGGTCTATCCGTGATGTGCTTGCCCACTCTGGGCCTATGTTTTCCTTCCTGAGCTGGCCCCCCCCCTCTCACGTTGCCCTTCATCAGATCGGGCCGAACGAAAGGGGGGGATAGGGAAAGGGGGGGTTGTGAAATCTGCTGCATGCAGCTGGTTGCGGCCCCGCCGCCGGGCCCATTCCTCGATACACGGGCGCCTCCCGGCGCCGGGAGGCGCTGGGAAAACCAGCTACGTGGGCGTATTCTGTATAGCCTGCCTTTTGCTATCCCCCCCTGGCGTCGCCTCTCGTCAGAGCTCAGCTCACGAGGCACCGTGCTGGGCTGCACTCGGGCCCGACGGGGCCCCAGACACGGTGCGGGGCACGGTGCGCCGATCCTGCTTGCCCCACGGCCCCTCGCGATCGGCCCCCGCCAGGGCGGCCTCGTCATGGCGGCGCCGGAGGGCGGCGCCTGCTCCGGGATGCAGATGAACGTCAGCGCGTGCCCGTTCACCAAGAGTTGCACCGAGGAGCCCGCGCTGGGCGTCGCCGCTGTCGATGTCGCCGCCGCCGACGCCGCCGTCGTCGCCGCCGTCGTCGTCGCCGTCGCCGGCGCCGTCGCCGTCGCCGTCGTCGTCGTCGTCGTCGTGGTGGTGGTGGTGGTGGTCGTCGTCGTCGTATTCGCCTTCGCTCTTCTCATGCTGCTTCTCCTGCTCCTCCTGCCTCCTCCCCTGTCCTGCTTCCGAGGTCTCCGGAGAGGTGCAGGTCCCCGGAGGGCAAGGGGTCTCCTGGAGGCTCCCAGGAGGCCCCCAGAGCCCGGAGGAGGCCCCTCCGAGGAGGCCCTAAGAGAGGCAGAGACGCGCAACATCCTAGATCTTCCACGTGTTTTCTGTATGCAGTAACCCGCAGTTGCCAATATGAGTGAGGGGGCAAGCGCGGGGTGGGTCGCGGGTGGGGTGCGGGTGGGTCGCGGGGCTGGGTGGGTCGCTGGGGCGTCGCGAGTGGGTCGCCGGGGGGTCGCGGGGGTCACGGACGAGGGCGACGCCGACAACAACCAACAACAGCTACAACAAACACAACAACAAACACAACAACAAACACAACAACAACAACAACAACAACAACAACAACAACAACAACAACAACAACAACAACAACAACAACAACAACAACAACAACAACAACAACAACAACAACAACAACAACCAAACTAACCCGTGCTACGGAATCCCGCTTCAGTAACGCACCGAGGGACAATGAATGACCGTTCGGCCCCTTTACTCTAATGAAGTATTTCCCCCCGTTTCACCCCCAAACGTGTCGGTGGGGCGGGCCGAGCGTTTCGCCTGAGACGTCCTCACCATCTTGAGCAGTGACGACTAGGGCGTCTCCGAGCGGGACCCCCCCTTCCCCCCGTAGACTCTTAGAACGGCAGCCTTCGGCCTGGTTGGGCGGGAGAGCTTTCTGGGGTTCTCCTTGGTGTACAACTCACAGTCTATAATTAATTCAGGATAACACTTTGTCCCCCTGGTAAATGCACAAGGGAGAAGTCACTCCCGGCTACTTCCACGCAATTCTGAACATCACCCCGTATGGAATCACGAGCAAAATCACTCCCATACAATTTCACACCGCAGCGTTCAATCATGCAAATTGTTGGCCAAGATACACAAGTGGCACGTGTGCCATGGCTCTTGCACAAAAAGGAAGGGGGAGGAGGAGGAGGAGGTGGAGGAGGAGGGGGGAAGACGGGGGCAAGACATCGCCCCTCGGGGCCCAGCAACGGGGCCCAAATCCCAGGTGGGGAGGGGGGGGGAGGTGGCGTGCGTCGCGACGCGGAATAAAGTGCTCGCAGCGGAGGGGACACGGGGCGGAGGTTCCACTGGGGCGCTGGGGCGCGGGGCGGAGGGGGGAAGGTGGTGTGCGTCGCGACGCGGATTAAAATGGTCGGGGCGGATGGGGCATTGGGCGGGGCTTGGGGCACATGGTCACGGGGCGGGGGGCCATTTGGGGCGCTGGGGACGAGGGGGTGGGGGTGGTGTGCGTCGCGACGCGGAATATCATTGTCGAGGCGGAGGGGACACGGGGCGGACCCCCCCCATTGGGGCGCCGGGGGCGCGGGGAGGGAGTTGGGGGAGGTGGTGTGCGTCGCGACGCGGGATAAAGCGTTCGTGGCGGAGGGGGCAGTGGACGGGGTCCCCGCTGGGGCGCTGGGGGCGCGGGGGGGCTCTGGGCAGAAAGCTTCGGCGCGGGGGTCCAACTCTGGCGCTGGGGGCGCGGGGGGGGGGGGTGCGACGCGGAATAAAGCGTTCGTGGCGGAGGGGGCTGTGGGCGGGGCTCCAGCTTGGGCGCTGGGGGCGCGGGGGGGCTCGGGGCAGAGAGCCACGGCGCGGGGGTCCCACTCTGGCGCTGGGGGCCCGGGGGGGGGGAGGGTGGTGTGCGACGCGGAATAAAGCGTTCGTGGCGGAGGGGCAGTGGGCGGGGCCCCCGTTGGGGCGCTGGGGGCGCGGGGGGGCCCGGGACAGAGAGCCACGGCGCGGGGGTCCCATTCCGGCGCTGGGGGCGCGGGGGGGGGGGGGGGCGACGCGGAATAAAGTGGTCGGAGTTCTAGACCTTGTGTTAGATAAAACATTTTCGTAACGGAGATGACGAACCACGATTCTTTGACACGTCAGTTTAGGCGAGTGTGCAGCACAGAAGCCCCCCCCCAATCCGTATGCCGTATGTTACGATCACGTTTCTAGGAAAGCGACGCGGGAGTTTCTATCGAGTTTCGCGCGGGTTTATGTTTGATCGCTTGATGCATCCGCAATTGTTTTGGTTCTGGCGCCCTGAGGTGAACAGATCATCGAGGATGTAGGCCCTGCGGGGCCCAGTTCGATCTCGGAGCGTTAGCGCGATTCCGCGGATGGTAGCGGGGCGTGGCCGGGGACGGACCCCCCCCCTTGTCTGGTGATCTTCGGTCGCGCGGCCGCGGCGGGCGCTGCGGCGTTGGGGCCCCTCGCTGAGCGCGTGCGGCTCATGGGGGGAGATGCGCCGCGACGCCGCGAGGTGCTCGCGGATGCAGAGAACCTGAGGCTCAGGCTGGACGCAGCTGAACAGCGGCTGGCCATGGGCGAGCAGCGGGCAGGAGAGCGCGGCCTTAGCGCAGCGGCAGCAGCGGCAGGTTTCGGCGGAAGCCAGATGGTCGACACTGAGCTGTCGAACACGCCGCGCACGTTCACGGGCCTGCACTCGGAGTGGAAGACGTGGTCGTTCGACTTTGAGACCTACGTGTTTGCGGTCTATCCCCGACTGGGGGATCTACTCAACCAGGCATCGATGACAGCCGACGCACTGGCGGCGCAGCGCGAGCTGGGCGCCGCGCTGAACGCTCAGCCGTATTAAATTCTGGTCTCGGTGACCTCAGGTGTGGCCAAGGTCGAGGTCAGAAAGGCTCCGAGAGGCGACGGACTCGCGGCGTGGTGGCAACTGCTCAGGGGGTTCGCGCCGAAGGAGGCGAGTCGCTTCGCGGCTATGCTGGGCCGTGTCGTTCGATGCGAGTTCGCTGACCCCGTGATGGCGAACGTGGCGGAGTTCGGGCAGCTGGCGCGGGAGTGCATTGACCAGAGCCGCGACGTGATCTCATGGAACGCGAAGCGCGGGGTGATCATTGCGGGCATCAAGCACGAGAAGCTGGCAGACCACCTCAGCCTGAACGGGGAGCCGAAGCAGGGGCTGAGCACGATCTGCTCAGCGCAGCGACGATGGGCAGCGACGGACACTGGTGGCGACGGAGTGGTCCCCGTGCAGGTCGACGGTTGGCAAGGGCAAATGGGGGCCACAAAGGCAATGGCAAGGGAAAAGACAGCACATGTAAGTCCAAGCGCGACTCCAAGGGCAAGAAGGGCGACTCGAAGGACAAGGGCCGAGAGACCCGCAACTGCCACTACTGTGGGAAGGCGGGCCATCTCGCGGGGGCCTGCCGCAAGAAGAGGGCCGACGGGAAGAGGGTTAGGACGGTTGCCTCGCTGACGGAGGGCCCCAAAGGACAGTCTTCGGCGGCGGTTGCTGCTTCAGCGCTGCAGGGCAGCGGCGCTGGCTTGCAGGCCAGTCTGGCCCTCGCCGTAGATGTCTCGCACGCGGCGGCGGTGCTGGCGCAAATGCAGCTGCAGCAGCAGCGGAGCATGGCTCCTACGAGCCCAACCGTCCACGTCGCGAACATTAGCGCGGCCCATCGTGCCGGCGTCCCAACGCCCGAGGAGTGCCACTGGCAGGTCGGCATGCTCTACGACAGGACGTAGCGCGACGCGCTGCCAGTGACGGTCGGCGACGCGGTGGAGTTTGATTGGGCGCTCTTCGACGCGGGCTCAGGGCTCTCCACCTGCCCCCGTGAGTTCGCGGACACGACCGAGATGCTGCCACCCAAGATACCACTTTTGTGAGTCTGCGACGGGCGTCGAGGTCAGGCCCATGGGCACGAGGATCGTCGCGGCCGACAGCGACGGGGTACCCCTGCATATCGAGTTCCAGTTGACGAACGTGAAGCGTGCCATCGTTGGCGCGGGCACCTTTACCGAGGGTGGCCACATTCTGATCCTGTTCAAGGAGCCCTACATCCTGCTGGCGGACGGCAGCGATATCAGGCTGTGCTGGAGCGGGGATACGTTCTGGCTCAGAATCAGGAGGCCTGTCGAGAACGTCACTGAGCTTATCCTCGTCAACCCAATCCAGCCGAACACTGAGGCACGAGCCGCACCTCAGGCACTTGCCGACGAAGAGGACGCAGAACCTGGCGCAGAAACCGCAGTACCAGAGCCTTGACCACGTCCACCGGCACCACCTGCTGCTGGGGGCGCCCAGGATCAACCTGGCCAAGAGGGAGGCCAGCGCGAAGGAGTGCGACGGCAACGTGAGGACGGAGCGCAACTGGGAGTCTCTGGAGACGCAGCAGAGGCCAGGGCGAGAAGGATCCCAGTGACGCCAGACACAGCAATCCGAGATCAGCATCGGCTCACTCACTGGCCCTTCCGCACCTAGTGCCTATTCTGCGTCGTTGACCGCGGCCAGGAAGACCAGCGCAGGCGCTGGGCTGACCCCTGCCGCCTGATCCCGCTTGTCTGCATCGACTACTTGTTCTTTGGGGGACGTCGAGGGCGGCCCGCTCACAGTGCTGAACATTCTGGAGTGCCAGTCGGGAGCGTCCGAGAGCGCGCAGATGACAACGAATGGGGCCTGCAGACTACGCCGTGGCGGTGACGACAGCGGCGATTGTCGCATGTGGGGCGTCAACCGCGTTCTTCTCGGTGCCGATGGCGAGCCCGCCATCCAGGCGCTAGTCCGAGCCGTGCAGCTGGCTCGAGACGAGGAGACCGTTCCCCACAGTGGGCCCAGACGAGACCCCAAGAGCAAGGGAGCTATCGAGAACGCCAACAAGATGGGCGAGGGCACGTGCCGCACTTTGAGGGCATCGTTCGAGTCTCGGTACAGCGCCAAGCTCACGCTGAACCATCGGATCATGGGCTGGATGATTCGACGCTCGGGCTGGATCCTGTCGCGGTACCCAGTCAAGGAGGATCCAGAAGATGTCCCACCACAAGGCTGATATCAGATGGGGCACAGCCGTCTGGGTTGGGGCGGACAACCGCGCGGACGAGCACCTCTTGGCGACCGCTGCTGGCAGGAAGACGGCGAGGACCGTCAGTGGGCGCGTGGAGGATCAGCGCTGGTCCGAGAGCTTGCTCAACAAGGTCGGGTGCACGCCATGGGGCATTCGCGCGGGACCAGAGGCAGCGCCGCCTCCACCGCGCCGTCGCTGCGTTGCGAGGGCGATCATTGATCGTGTCGGACCCGCGCCTGGCTGTGACGGCTGCCGCGGACTCGTCCACCCACGAACTGAAGCTTGCCGAGAGCGCATCGAGGGCTTGGTGGAGGCCGAGGAGGAGAAGGAGAAACAAGAGGCAGCAGTTCGAGCGGCTGCATCCGCAGCTGCAGCCGCACCCCCAGGAGGAGAGCCGGGTGCTCAACCGGGGCCTGGCGCCGCGCACTTTGAACCGATGCCACCTCCAGCCGTGGCACAGGGCCCACAACCTGGTCCAGGGGCCGATCCAGGAGGACGACCCCGCAGACGGCGGCTAGAGGCGGACGCACCTCTGAACCCCGTGCAGGAGGATGCCGTGGAGCTGCCGCAGCAGGATGCCATGGAGCTCGGCATGGTCGGGGTGGATTTCAACGGCGCCCCGGCGGAGGCGAAGCGGGGGCCGAAGCAGAAGGTTATCGCAGGTATGTTCGCGAACGTGGCGACTGCAGTCTTTGCGCTGACATGCGACGCCGTCCCCCGCGACAGCGTGGCGGGCATCAGCAAGCAAGGCCTCTACGGCCGCGGGGCGAGTTGCCAGGATATCTCCAGGGCGAGATCAGGGGGAAGGCTGGGCCCCGCCTTGGTGAAGCGAGTCAGGGAGATGGAGCGCAGGCAGGTGGAGGAGTTTCAGGTCTTCGAAAGAGCGCCCAAGAATCTGGCAAAGGGCAAGCGAGTCCGAGACGACGAGCGCTCCGACGAGGACGGCAAGGAATCGGGCAGATCGGGTTTCGTGGCCATGTCGTTCGCCTGGGACGTGCGCGACGACACCTTCGCAGGCACTCCACCACTGGCAGCGTTCAGGCTGGTGGTCTCCTTCGCCTCATGCCTCTTATTCCACGGGGGTTGGCTGCGACGGCGTGATCGCGCTCTACGACGTGTCGGTGGCTTTCCTTCGCGCGTACATTGGTGATGACATCCACGTGGTCCCACCTCGCGGAGCGGAACCAGAAGGCATCGTGTGCCAGCTGTAGCGCGCTCTCTACGGCACGAGACGCGCATCGTTCCTGTTCCAGAACCTGATCATGAAGGTCTTGGAGAAGGGCGGATTCACGCGCATCAGGGTGACGGTGCAGGTCTATGACCACAAGCAGAGGCTGCTGATGGCGATCGTGCATGGGGATGAATTCCTGGCTGGAAAGAGGAAAGACTCTCTGGACTGGCCCGACGAGTTGGTGAGGGGACACTTCAAGGTCAATGTGGTGCCGAGGGTAGGCAGCCCGAGGCAAGGAGGAGTCGAGTCAGGGAGCTTCCTCCGGCGGACGGTGACGTTGTGCCCCGAAGGGCTCGGTGCCCAGCGCGACCGCAAGCACGTGGAGATTCTGGCCAGCACCATGCTCAACATGAAGGCCGGTGAGGGCAGAAACACGAAGCGGGCGATCATCACCTCCTCCAGGACCAGCGGGAAGGACTGCAGGGAGCCATCGGGCGAGCTCAGCACGGAGTACGCGACCACCTACCGCAGCATGGCACCCATTGCCTTGTATGTGGTTCATGACCGATTTGACATCCAGCAAGCCGTGGGATACCTCATGAGGGGCACGGTTGCACCCACTTGGCACTATTGGCTGCTCTTACAGCGGCTGGCGAGCTACCTGGAGCAGCGCCCGCAGTTCGAGCTCTTCTTCGAGTTCCAGAGGATGCCCAAGGTGATCGTGGCGGAAGTCGACAGCGACTGGGCGTCCGAACCTGGTCGGAGGTCCGTGGACGGGGCATTCCTGTTCATTGGCTCGCACCCGATCGACGGCTGGAGCGGCCAGCGGGACAATCGCGCACTGAGCAGCGCGGAGGCGGAGTTTACAGGGATCGTTTACGGCTCGGCGAGAGGCACCTGGTTGAGGAACGTGGTGCTGGAGATGGGTTCGAGATGACCCTGCAGGTGGACGCGGACAGCTCGGGGGCCAGGGGCATCGCATCACTCTTGGGAAGCGGAAAGGTGCGCCACCTGGAGACGAAGTACTTCGGGGTGCAGGAGAAAGTCAGGGGCAGGGCGATCCCGATGGCGAAGTTTCACACGGATACGAACATGGCCGACATGCAGACCAAGCCGCTCGAGGGACCGAGATTCCTGAAACTGCTGGCGATGCTTCCACTTCGGACGCCGTCCTCAGGGCGTACGCAGGTGTTCGGAGTGATGTTGGCGGCAACAACAGTTGACGGAGCTCAAGGTGGAGATGGCCCCAGCGAGCCCTGCTGTGATGGTGATGGGCAGCCCGACCGCGAGGGGGCAGGTCTGGGCGACGGCCATCGCGGTGTTCGGATCGACGCTGGCGATCGCGTTCTTGGGCGCGTGGCTTGGCTACCGCGTGTGCGAGGCTCCAACCCGGTTCCTGAAGGGTCTCTGGGAGCTGGCGGGGGACGGCGACGACCAGATCGCTCAGGTGGACGCCCCACCTGGAGAGGAGCATCTGGCGATCGTGGAGAGCGGCGTCAGCAGACACACGCAGACGACTCCGATCAAGCACTACTGGACGTGGAGGGCGAGGGAGCTGCCCGAGGAGTGCGCGCCTGCGCTTGGGCATCTATCGAGGACAGCTCAAGTCGCAGATATGGAGGACCTGGTGAACGGAGCAGGCCGCAGGTGAACCTGGCTTGTGGTGCAGCAGCACCGCTCTACATGCGCTCGACGCGCCGCGCTGGAGCGCGCGTCGTTTGTATGAAAAGGACCCTCCACGCCAGTGGCTCGAGGGCGCGAGGAGATGAAGCTCAGCGTTGAGGCGCTGGCCCACCGACGATGAGCTAGATGGGCCCGTGGGCGCAGGTGCCAGATCTTGTTTGTGCTAGAGAAACCGACGGTCTCTGTTCGGCAAGATGAGCCCCAGGTTAAGCCCGGGACCCAAGGAGGAGTGCAGCACAGAAACACTCCCCCCCTTATCAGTATGCCGTATGTTACGAGTACGTTTCTAGAAAGGCGACTCGGGAGATTCGATCGGGTTCCGCGCGGGTTTATGTTTGATCGTTTGATGCATCCGCGCTGGCTCTAGCGCCCTGGGGTGAATCATCGTCGAGGATGTAGGCCTTGCGGGGCCCAGTTCGATCTCGGAACGCTGGTGCAGTTCCGGGGGCAGTGTCATCAAAATCCCAGGTTCGACGTCCGAGCGGGTTCCAGCATCGCGCTCGACCGATGCGTCGTCATCGTCGTTGCCATCGCTGCTTCGCTGCGACGACTTATTTCACGTTAGAGTTGTCCCGATTTCGAGCCCCTTCCCTGGGCGGGGCCGACCGACCCCGGGCGAGGCGGGTGATTATGTTTGCGAGATCGCAGACCGTAGCGGGCAACGATGCCAGCTATCCCGTGCGAGCGCGTGGTGGCGGCTAAAAGCGCTGCTGTCACGGGGCAGCGCTGGCCTCGGCCTCGAAGAAATGCAGCGTGAGATGCCACTTGCCCGTTGCGAAAGTATTCCGTCTTGAGCATTGACGACTAGGGCGTTTCCGAGCGGGGGCCCCCTTTACCCCCCGTAGGCTCCTATCGTCGCAGCCTTCGGCCTGGTTGGGCGGGGGGGCTTTCCGGGGTTCTCCTCGTTGTAGAATTCGCAGTGCATGACCAATTCGGGGTGCAAATCTCTCCCTTGATAAAGTCACGCGGGGGAAGTCACTCCCGGCCATTTCCACGCAACTCAGGCCCCCCCCGTGTGAAATCACAAATAGAAGTCGTCCCTGCTGTTTCTGACCGCAGCGCCCAGACGTCAGTTTGAGCCAGGATGAATAAACTTTCGAAGCGGGGATGTCCTATTGCGAAAGTTATTCATCTTGAGCGTGGGCGACTAGGGCGCTTCGAGCGGGACCCCCTCCCCCCGTGGACTCCCAGCGCGGCAACTTTCGGTTAGGTTGGGCGGGGGGGCTTCCCGGGTTTGTAATGTTTTGCAAAAGTAATATACTGTCAACTCAGGATGAACATCCCCCCCCCCCCCCCTTTTTACATGCGCAGGGGGAAGTCGCCCCCAGCCGTTTCTTCGCAATTCAGAATATCTCCCGGGGTGGCATCACAATAGTATGAAATCGCTCCCCATATTTCATCTCGCCGCAGCGCCCATGCATAGCAATCTCAGGCAAGATGAATAACTTTTCGTAGCGGGGATGCACCGTTACGAAAATGGTTCATCTTGAGCACTGACGACTAGGGCGCTTTGAGCGGGGCCCCCTTCCTTCCGTAGACTTCTTGCCCGTCAGCCTTCGGCCTGGTTGGGCGGGCGAGCTTTCCGGGGTTTTCATGTTTTACACTTAGTATTGTATTGCCGATTTAGGATGCAAATCCCCCCACCCCACCGTAAATGCGAGCCGCGGCGCCCAGACATAAGTCTAGCCAATGTGAAGCTATTTTCGTAGCGGGGCTGGGGAACCACAAGTCCTTGACGTGTCAGCTCAAGCCGCTGTCATGTGGGGCCTAGGTTCGGCGTCCGAATGGGTCCCAGCATCGCGCTTGACGGATGCGTCGTTGCCATCGCTGCCATCGCTGTTTCGCTGCGACGACTTGCTGCGCGTTGGAGCTGTCCCGATTTCGAGCCCCGCCCTGGGCGGGGCCGACCGTCTGTTGTGTGCGTTCGAGCCTGAGACGTCTTCGCGCCGGACTTGAACCTGGTCGAGAAGTGGCGGGGGTGGCTCCGGAAAAAGGCCCCGCGCCATGGGCCTCGACGCCTTGGCGAGGCGCCCCGTTCAGGGCAAGATGGCCAACAGGGCGCGCGCGAGGCGGGTGATTCAGTCAGCGACGAAGTTGCAGACCGTAGCGGGCAACTATGCCGAGGGTCTGCGGGGGCCGTGCGAGCGCGCGGTGGCGGCCGAGAGCGCGGCTGTCACGGGGTTGCGCAGGTCTCGCCTTCGAAGAAGTGCAGCGTGAGATGCCGCTTGCCCGGTGCGACAGCTATGCATCTTGAGCGCTGGTGAGGCGACTCGGGCGTCTCCGGGCGGGGTCCCTTTTCCCCTTTGTAAGCTCCTAGCGCGGCAGCCTTTGGCCCCAGTGGACGGGGGGGGCTTTCCGGGGCTTTCCCTGGTGAGCAATTAATGGATAATCTATAACCAAGTCACGGTAAAAATCCCCCCCCCCCCCTCCCGTCGCAAGGGGGGAGTCGCTCCCGGCCACTTCCGCTCATTTCTGGGCATCGCCCCGCATGGAATCATTAACGAACTCACTCCCATAGAATGTCTCACCGCGGCGCCCAGACATGTCATTTTAAGCCAAGATGAGCGCAGTTTCGTAGCGGGGATGAGGAACCACGATTCTTTGACATGTCAGTTGAAGCCGCCGTCATGAGCCCAGGTTCGACGTTCGAACGGATCTCAGCGTCGCTCTCGACGGATGCGTCGTCGTCGTCGTTGCCATCGCTGCTTCGCTGCGACGACTTACTCCGCGCCAGAGTTGTCCCGATGTCGAGCCCCGCCCTGGGCGGGGCCGACCGTCTGTTGTGCGCGTTCGAGCCGGAGGCGTCTTCGCGCTGGACTTGGACCCAGTCGAGAAGTATTGGAGGTGGCCCCGGAAGAACCGCCGCGCCGCGAGCGTCGCCGACGCCTTGGCGAATCGCCCCGCCCAGGGCAGGATGGCCTACGAGGTGTGCGCGAGGTGGGCGATGAAGTCTGCGATGTCGCAGACCGTGGCGGGCAGTTATGCCGAGGGTCTGCGGGGCGCGCGCAAGCGCGCGACGGCGACCAGAAGCGCTGTCGTCGCGCGATAGCGCGGGCCCCGCCCTCGAAGAAGTGCAATGCGAGATGCCGCGAGAAACCTCGATTCTTTGACGTGTCAGTTGAAGCCGTTGTAATGAGGGGCCCAGGTTCGACGTCCGAAATGGGCCTGGCATCGCGCTCGACGGACGCGTCGTCATTATCGTTGCCGTCGCTGCTTCGCTGCGACGACTTGGTGCGCGTCAGAGTTGTCCCGATTTCGACCCCCCCCTGGGCGGAGCCGGCCGTCTCTTGTGTGCGTTCGACCCTGAGACGTCTTCGCGCCAGACTTGATCTGGTCTGGTCGAGAAACGCCGGAGGTGGCTCCAGAGGAAGCTCCGCGCCGCGGGCGTCGCTGGCGCCTTGGCGAAGCGCCCCGTTCAGGGCAAGATGGCTTGCGAGGCGCGCGCGGGGCGGGTGACTAAGTCTGCGAAGTCGCAGTCTGCGGCGGGCGACTCTGCTGGGGGTCTGCGGGGCGCGTGCAAGCGCGCGGCGGCGGCCGAGAGCGCCGCTGTCGAGGGGTGGCGCAGGTCTCGCCCTCGAAGAGATGCAATGTAAGATGCCGCTTGCCCGCTGCCCGAGCTATTCATCTTTAGCGCTGACGACTAAAAGCGCAAGCGTCTCAGAGCTTTGCCCCTCCCCCCCCCGTGGGCTCTTAGCTCGGCAGCCTTCGGCCAGATTGGGCGGGGCTTTCCAGGGTTCTCCTTGGCATAGAATTAGTATATGACCAATTCGGATAACATTCCCCCTTCTAAATGCACGGGGGGAAGTCGCTCCCGGCCACTTCCGCGCTGTGCTGAATATCGCCCCGCATGGAATCACACATAGAAGCCGTTCTTATGCTGCGTCTCAAAGCGGTGCCCATGCATGTCAATTCTAGCCAAGATGCAACAATTTAGTAACGGGGATGCGCGACCCTGCAGGTTGAGATTTGCAGCTGTTCCGAGGATGGAGGGCGGCCGGTTTTCCAGATGTGACTCTCGCCCAATCGTCTCGCCCAAGTGTGAACGGCTGTTCCTTTTTCAATTGCAGTTCTCGCTTCAGCCCGAAAGTTTGGAGCAGTTTTTAAGGGTGCACTGCGGGCCCTTTTCGAACTGTGGTTCTCGCCTCAGCGCCGCGAGCACTTGTTGTAAAAGTTTGTAGCAGTTCCGAGGATGGGGGGGGCCCTTTTCAACATGTGTCTCTCGCACTAGCGCCACGCACGTTCGTTTTCAACATTTGCAATAGTATCGTGGACGCAAGCATGCAAGCACATGCTGAGTACGAAACGCACATGGGCACATAGCCGTTATCACGTGGCATCGCAATTCTTGCTGACGTGGAATCACGTGGATGGAAGTTTTTTTTTTTTTTTTTTTTTTTTGTTTTTTTTTTTTTTTTGTTTGTGTTGCTCTCGTTCTAGCGCCGCGCGCATTCGTTTTGACACTTAGCCGAAGGGTTCGTACGATCGACGTCCGAGGAATGATGTTTTGGCGCGATTTTTTGGGCTGTCTTGTGGCAGCGGTCACGTTAGTTCGCAGTGTTGAAGTCCCAAGAATTGCGTTTTGTCGCGATCAGGACGGCCAAGACGCAGCAATCAAGTTGCTTCGCGGGGTTGCAGTTTCAAACTGGTGCTTTGGCACGATCGAGGACTCTCAGATGTTTTTGTTTCAATGGGGCATTCCTGACAATGAAATGGAACTCGGGGGATGGTTTATTGCAAGGTTGCTGATGCGTCTTGCGTCTACGCTGGTTCTCCTCTTCTTCCTCCTCCTCAATTCCTTGCGGGCCCTGCGCCCGCGAAAGGGGTTGACCGAAAAAAAGGCATTGCTGATAGCTGTCCCGCGGACGCCGTGTTGAGTTCCGCCGCGATCCAGTTTCCGCTTCGCATTGACCCGCTCGCGATCGGGTTCCCGATCCAATTTGGCTCGTTCGCGATCAGGCTTCGGGCCCGTTCCGGCTCGGTCGCGACCTGGTTTCCGGTTCGATTTCGCCGGCCATCCGCAGCGGTAAAGTTTCCCAGCGACCTGCCAGTGCCCCCGCGCGGACCCCCTCCGCAGGAGTGCTCCCCGCGGGACTGCCGCTTCGCCGATTGGAGCGACTGGCACCAGCCGTCGTGCTCGGGGCTGTGCGAGCGCCACCGCGTCAGCCCCGACGCTCTCCGCGCGCCCGTGCGGGGGCGGGTGGACGGCGCGGCCACACATTTCACGGCGTGATTTCTTCGGGTACGGTGGGTTCATGCGGCGTTGGCGCGCGGGCATGGTTGAACGATTGGTGCGGTGTTGCAATCCTCTGCGCTCGCCGACGTCGCACGAACCCACCGCACGTCCACCGACGTCGGCCTTCCAGGGGCCGCTTTTCGGGTTCCAGGAGCCACCGAAAACGGATCCGGACGAGAAGCTGACCCCGTGGGAGGCAGTCTGGTAGCTCTGGGGCCCTGGGGTGAAAGAAGAAAAGGCGTCGTCGGATGGCAGGGGGAGGACATCTCGGAGGTTTCTCGGATGCTTCGGGAGCTTGCCCCCCGCGTGCCGGAGACTCGTCGTCCCGTGGATCTCTGGATCGTCCTGGGCGTCCTCTTTCAGGATGCACCCGGGGCCGTCTTGGGACCGTCCTGGCCGTCCTTCTCTCTGCTCTTCCCGCCCGCATCTGGGTGCCGCGTGAAGAGCACCGGCGAGTGTCCTTGTCCGTCTCGGCCTCCCGTACCCTGACGGTTCGGTCCGATTCGAACCTTGTTTTTTGTTGCCAACCCTCATGTATTGGGTTCTCGCTTTGAATAGAGCGCTGGGGTCGTTACCGTCCTCCTTCCCGCCTCCTCTCTTCCCTCCTCCTCTTCTCTCCTGCCCCTTACCTGGCTCGTACCTGCCGGCCAGCCCGCCTCCTACCTCGCCGTCCTAGGTGACCTCGATATGCCTGGGGGGTTGCGAGCTGCGAAACGGAATGACGTTTTCCTGCAGATTCATATCAGACCTCTCCATGCCTGGGGGGCTGTGAAATGCAAAGCTGTCGCCACTTTCGAGGGCTGCTGGGGGGTCCAGCGAAGTGACGTCTCACCGTAGACTCATATTAGACGTTCGCCATGCCTAGGGGGTGCGAATTGCTCGGCATTTTCGAGGGCCGCCAGGGCGGGGGGTCCAGCGGACTGACGTTGACCGCAGACTCAGCCAGCGTAGGCTCCAAATAGTGTGGTTCTAGTCATATTATATTGTGCTATCTATGTGGAGCAATATGTGGTGCAATCTACGATGTGCAGTCTATGTGGTGCAATCTGCGATGTGCAATCCATGCTGTTCAATCTATGTGGTGCAATTTATGTGGTGCACTCTGTGCTATGCAATCTATGGTGCAATTTCAATGCTATGTGGTGCAATCAATGTGGTGCAATATATGTGGTGCAATCCAGTGATGCATGCATACACATATATATATACATGTATGTATGTATGTATGTCTGTCTGTCTGTAGTCTGTATGTCTGCCTGTCTGTCTGTCTGTCTGTATGTATGAATGAATGAATGAATGTATGTATGTATGTATGTTTATATGTTTATATGTATGTATGTATGTATGTATGTATGTATGTATGTATGTATGTATGCATGAATGCATGCATGCATGCATGCATGCATGCATGTATGTATGTATGTATGTATGTTTATATGTATGTATGTATGGATGTATGTATGTATACATATATATGTGTATATATGTCGTGCGACCTATGTAGTGCAATATGTGTGGTACAGTTTATGTGGTGTAGTATGTGTGCTGCAGTCTATGTGGTGCAATCAATCACTTGCTCAACTTGACGCTGTCCTCTCCACTGCTCGCGCAAGCATCCCACCCTCCCACCCGCAACTTGGTTTGCAACACCTCTTAAGACCGACCAATGCGAGGAACGGTGGGCCGGCCTCTTCGACGTTGGCGCACACGCCAGCGACGGCGGTCACAGACGGAATGGCCGATCCCAGCGCATGGGCAGCGGCATCGTCCCTCTCGACGAGGACGAGGACGACGAGCACCCGGCTGCTGCCCCCCGCGGCCGCGCCCACCTCCAGAGGGCCATCCTGGCCCGCCTCGACACGCAGGCGCGCCTGGAGCTTCGCGAGCGCCACGCGCAGGCCGGCAACCACCCAGCGCTGCGCCGCTTGGAGGACCTCAGCCACCCCGACACCAACCACGAGTGGCTTTGGGCTCTGAGCCGACACAAGGGGCCCCTCCTCGACCAGCAGGACTTCGTGGGAGGGCTCCGCCTGCGCCTCGGCGCCGCCGGCCCCAGCGAGCCCACGCCCTGCAACCTCTGCGGCGCTGAGCTGCTCGACTCCGCGGGCTCGCACGCCCTCTGCTGCAGCAGAGCCGAGGCTACGAAGGGCCACCACGCGCTGGCACGGCAGGTATACGAGGCCGCCAGGAGTTGCGACCCCGCCACCGAGCTCGAGGCGCAGAACCTCATCCCAGGCACCCGCTGGCGGCCCGCGGACGTACTCACGGGGGCGCTGGGGCACGGGCTCACGGCGCTCGACATCGGGATCGCCTCCCCCGACGCGTGCAACGCCGGCCCCGACTGCGTCTCCAGCATGTACGAGCGCAAGACGGCGTACTACGCCCCTTACAGCGATGTTCTGGACCCCCAGAACATCCTGTACCAACCCTTAGTCTGGTCAGCCTACGGGCGGCCCCACCCCCGGACGACATCCATCCTCCGCGCACTCGCGACCCGCCTTGCCCGGCGGAGGGGATGCTCGGACGGGGCGTGGCGGTGCCGCCGCCTGGCCAGCGCGGCTGGCGTGGCGCTGTGCCGGCGGGCGGCCGCCCACGTCAGGGCCTGCTGGCCTGGCGGGGGTGACGACTAAGGCGCCGGCCGCCGGCCTGCCCGCCCCAGCGGGCGCGGGCCCCCCCTTCCCACCGCCCCCGTCCGCCCCCACCCGAGCACGCGCGCCTAGCCAGCGGGGTCAGGTGGCTCACACCCCGCGGCCGTGCTCCCCCCGGTGCCCCCTGCTTGCCTGCCTGCTTGCTGCCCCTCCTCCCTCCCCCTCCTCCTTCCTCCTCCTCCTCCTCCCTGTCCTCCCTCTTCTCCTGGGCCCGGAGGCCGCGTGCTGGCGCGAAGCTGCCGGTGCAGTCTTTTCTCCTCCGGAGGCCGCGCGCTGGCGCGAAGTGTCCTGCCGCGCGCCCCAGCAGGCACTGCCGTTGCCGTCCCTTCTCCTCCTCCCTCCTCCTCCCCCCCTTTTTGCCGTTCCTTTGCACGGGAATCCGTCGGTACAACTGTGCGCCCTTTTTCTTTTCAGGCCGTCGCGTGTCTGCGCGCCGGGGAGACGGGCCGCGCACCTGCGTCTGTCCAGTTTCTTTTGTTTTCTCCCCCCTCCTCCTCCTCGTCCTCCTCCTCCTTTCCCCCCTCCTCCTCTGTTCCCTCCCGCGTGCCTGGTCCGAGGCATCGAAGCACGCAGCGTGCCGCGCGCCGCGGGGGCGGGCCGCGGCTACTGGCGCGCGGTTTCTTCCTCCGTGCCCTGTGGCTGTTCTGCGGCCTCCGGGCTCTCTTGAGCCGACGTCCCCCTCTCGTCGTTCCTCTTCGTGTCCCTCGTCTTTCTCGCCTTTCCTGGCCTCGTGGCCGGTCCGCTTGTCGTCCTCGTCGTCGTCGTCTCGTTTTCCTCCTCCCCGCGTTCTCGCCGACTTGCCTTGGTTGTGCCGGCCTCGGTGCAACGCTGTAGCATCGAGGGGCCCCCTTCCCATCAGTTGGGAAGCTGGCGATTTCTTGTTTCAAGTGCGCATGGCCCACACAGCTCTTGCTGGCACCCGGCACCGTGCTTCTCACCCGCAGGCCAGGGAACGTACCCCAGGAGAGGTCCAGGCAGTAGCGGTATCGGTACTTTTGGGTTTCCCCATCTAAGACCGACTACGACGACACCGACGACAACGACGACGACGACACCGACGACGTCTCCGACGACTTCGACGGCGACAACGACGCCGACGCCGACGACGACGAAGACGACGACGACGACGCCAACGAAGGCGACGACGAGGGAGGAGGAAGGACGACGACGGCGACAACGACGACAACGACGACAACGACGAGGGAGGAGGGAGGACGGCGACGACGCGAACGACGACGAAGGAGGAAGGACGGCGACGCCGACGACGACAACGACGAGGGAGGAGGGAAGACGACGACGACAACGACGACGACGACGGTGACGAAATAGAACCGACGACGAGACGCCGACGACGGACGACGACGACGACGACGTGGGAGGAGGAGGACGGACGACCACGGCGACAACGACGACGGAAACGACCACGACGCCAAAGAGGACGACGACGACGAACACGAGAAAAGACAGAGGACGACGTAGGCGACGACGACGACGACGACGCGGGAGGAGGGAGGACGGCGACGACGACGACGACGCAAGAGCGCGCGCGCACGCTTTTGTTGAAAATCCGTGTTGCGAAACCTTAGGTTGTTGTAGGTTTTTTGGACGCACGATTTTGAAATCCTTCCGAAACCGATGGGTTTTGAAGGTTTTCTGCGTACGCCCGCGACGACGCGCGCGTCTGCACTTCGTTCCATTTTTTGCAGAGGATTCTCGCGACGGCACACGCGCAAGGGCGTTCGACAGATTTCGACATGTGCGCGCGCGAAGCCCGTTTGGTAGCATTTTGTGAAAATCTTGAAACACCTATGGTTTTCTTAAGATTTCGCAAGAGCTCGCGCGGAAACTGTTTTAGCAAATCAGTGTTGCGAAACCCTGTGTTTCTGTATGTTTTTTTTGGAAACTCGATTGCGAAATCTTCTGGCACCGAAGGTTTTTTAAGGATTTCGGCATGCGCGCGCGACAGCGCGCGCGTGTGCATTTCGCCCCGTTTTTTTCAAGGGGTTCGTGAACAAGTGTTACGTTAGAACAAAACATGTCACTGCATAGTGTTTTTTACAAGGGAACCTCATGGGGGGGGAACCCGGCCTGGTTGGGATGGTATGATTTCATATTTAGGACGGACGAATGGTCATAATCAAATATGATTTACATACCCGAAAAAGGGAACGGATAAGTCCGGGGGTGGGGGGGTAGGGTCTATTCTTTTTTTTAGAAAGGAGAATCTACGTGATGCAATCTACGCGCAACAATCTACGATACGCAACATATGTAGTGCAAGCTATGCGGTGCGATCTTGTGTGGTGCAATCTTGTGTGTGCGCTATATGTTGTGCAACCTTTGTTGTGC